TGTCTATTTTCTGATCTCCCTGGGTGGCAGCAACAATCCCATTAAGAATGAAAACATTGCTGGGTGGTGATGCACACCTTTAATCTCAGCACTGGAGGCAGAGGCGGTGGATGTCTTGAGTTCAAGGCCAGCCTGGTTTACACAGTGAGTTCTAGGACAGCCAGGACTACACAGGAAACCCTGTCTCAAAAAAAAAAAAGGAAAGAAAGTATTTTACCAGCTGCATACATGTAACATTTACTCAGAAGACTGCAATAAAAGTGTTGCAAGTTCAAGGTCAGCTTGAGCAACAATGTAAGACCCCCAGAAAGCTCAGGCCTCTGGGTCTCAGCCCAGGACCTCTGTCACCCCAATCACCAGGCAGATTCGAAATCTTGATGCAAACTGCATGAGGCTTTATTGTTGTTTAACAAGCTAACCCCATGTTAGCTCGGGTCTTTCATCCATCCACCATGGCGGATGGCTAGAAAAAACAGCTCGAACCAGCTGCCTAGAGACCTTGTAGGACGGCGTAAGGGGAGTGTCTAGGAGGGCTTGCCCTGTGTTGATTGGCCAACTGGTTTTTATGACCCAATAGGCCCATAGGCCCTCCCAGGGTGGTTTCTATGCTCTGTGTGTCATTGCTGTGCACTTGTCCTAAAGCACACCCAGAGCCATAAAGCATAGCGCCACCAGCTAACTTCTGATTGGTTCCTTGCCACGAGGCAGGGATCTGACTTTCTAGTGACTAGGACAAGGTCAGACAAGCACGTGTTCAGCTGTTATGGCTGTTGAAATGGGCAGGCATCTGACCTTAGTGACTAAGACAAGGTCAGACAAATACATGTTTGGCTGTTAGGGCTGCCGAAATGGGGAACTGGTCCCTTCAACATAGTGCTGTCTTGTCAGAAAATAAAAGGGTCTGAGCTGTGACTTGGCTGTGGTAGTGAGTGCAGGAAACCTGGGTTCAGCCCCACCAAAAACCCATCTGCCTGCCTGCCTGCCTGTCTGTCTACTTGTCTGTCTGTTTCAACTGACTTGCCAGCTAAAAGTATGACAAGATTTAGGCTAAGTCAGTTGAAGTAATAGCTCTGAGAGAAGCAGGCATCGTTTGGTGGCTGAGCTGCAAAGACCAGGCCTTGGAGCTGGACATTCCTCTACAGTGGCTGCTTCAGGCAGGTGGCTTCTCACTGACAGCACCGTTGGTGACAGCACTGGGGAAACAGCTGACACCACTGGACTTCCTGTGGAAGAGCGGAGTCCTCACTAGACATCATAGTGAAGGGCAGAGAATCTCTCATCCCATCAGCCTTCTGAGGAGGAGAGAAATGTTACTTCCCTGCTTAGTCACTTATCAGAGGCAGAATCACCAGAGAAGCCAGGCTGGCTTGCTAGAGGGGTTTGGATGAGGGTGGGGTTAGCAGTCATTCACTGCAGTTTGCTTCAGGCTATTCAGCCATCTGTTGTAAACCCAGGGTAGCAAAGGACATTTCAGGTAATTTTTTTTTTTTGTCAGCTATGTCAAGTGTCAAGCCAGGGGCCTCCCCTGCTTCTGAATTGCTTTTAGGCAGGGAGGGTAGCATTGGTTGTCATGAAAAGGCAAGAGTCTCTTAGCACTTGGGAGACAAGCCTGTTAGGTTGTACCATTAGCTAAGGTGCATCACACTCTTCCTGGCAGGCCCTGGCTCAAAGAAAGCAGTATGGTGGGTTAGCAGATGTGAAGCTCCCCCAAGGTGCTGCAGTGCAAGAAGAGCTTTTGGAGTTCTGTTTTTTACAGAAAGCAAGCAGACCACTAATCTCTATTAAGCATTGGCTCCAAAATGGTTTAATGTTCTCAGATAATCTTATTGACCTTTGCAGAATGTTTAGCTCAGCTCAGTGTAGCCTAGACATAGAAGGCATACAAAGGCATCAAAGCTAGATAGGGAGGGGACAAGAAGAGACTCGGATTCCGAAGCTGGCTTTTGAACCTGTTCTGTTTGATATGCACCCTGAGGGTGTTTTCAGTTTTAATAGGACAGTTGTGTGTGTGTGTGTGTGTGTGTGTGTGTGTGTGTGTGTGTGTGTGTGTGTGCGCGCGCGCGCGCGCACATGCGTCTTGTCTGCTTAGGCATTCACTTATTTATCCATCTGTCAGATCTTTAGACATTAAAAACTAGGGTCCAGATAGCAAATGGTCCCTGTGGAATTTCTATTCCATCAGGAAAATAAATAATTACAAATGGACTAAGCCTTTTAAGAAAGTGGGGGGGGGGCGCAATACTATTTTTTTTCTTTTTTCTTCTTGCAGATTTTCCTTTAAAAGAAAAATCATATAATGTGTCTAAAAATCAGAGTTAACTTGTTTTTTTTTTTTTTGGACAATTTCCTAGTAATTCTTAATATAACTGGAGATCAATTTCCCTGGGAAGTGCTCACATATCCGTGGTAGTGTTTGCAGACCAGTTCTTGAGCTGTGGTGTGTGTGTGTGTGTGTGTGTGTGTGTGTGTGTGTGTGTAGGTGGGTGATGTGAAGAAATGCTTCCAGGTGTAGGTAGAGGAGTGTCACTCACTGTCACTGAATTGCAGGTGTGTTGTGACAGCTGTTTGGATAGCTCTGACCAGCTCCTGCTCTGGGCTATGGGACAAGGGCTAGACATAACCCCTTGCTTTCAGAGAGGAATCCCATTACTGTGTCTTAAAATAGCTATACTTCTGAGCCCTTTTCAAAT